TTACTTCATGTTCATTATCCGAAGCTTGTAGGTGAAATAGAGCGTGGTTACACTGAAGCGATTAACCAAAACTTTTTTAGAGACAGTTGGACACCTCACTAAAGAAGCTAAATATGCAACTCACAACGTTCAATATATTCTTTAATACATTGTGAATGATCAAAAAAATTTTAAAAAAAACAGGAAAAAAACTTTAAAGAATTCTGGTCTAGGTGGCACTTGTAGCAGAATTATGATCAATTGGGTGAGCCTATTCACAGTTTTTGGCGTTTTAAGACACAAAATCATTGAAAAATTAGCTTAAACGAGTGTGTTTTCTGCATTTCGATGTTTTTGGTATTACAAAATTAGAGTGTTTCTCTATTTTCCAGACCTTATGTTTTAGTTTAGCAAATAAATAAACCTTGACAGACTAAATTATTGGATTCAAGTTGAAAAATTTTTGAGCACGTGCTGAATTTTTAGAAAAAACAGTAATCCGTTGATCCGTTGATCTGAACCGAAAATTTTGAGAAAATTAAAGAGTTCGTATGGTAGAAGGAGGTTTTAAAGTTTAAAAAAACAGGCTAAATATGGTGTTTAGGCCTTTTTTGGAAAATTTTCACCGAAAACTTGCAATTTTGTGGATCGTGCTCCCCCTAAAAATAGTATATATTGGTGCCAAAGGCCTCTTTAGAAAAACTTTAGGGTCCATCAGCCAGAAATGGATATCTCGGCTCTTTTCCAGTTTCCCATTCTTTAATTTTTTCTGAAATTTATTAAATGATGTCTATTTAAAGTGACTTTTGATGTTATAAACTGCAAAAACATGTAGCAGCGTGAACAGGTGAACATATTTTTACAACACATATAACATACAAAATGTCGTGTGAAAATTTTTTGAACAGCTTTATTTTGCTATTTTACGAGGGGGGTGGGAAACTGGAAAGGAGCCGATATCTCAAAATAGTACAAAAGGCCGGACCCTTTGGGTCGGCAGAGAGTCGATTCCCTGAAAGAAGGCGTCCGCCCCAACCTCCTCCTCCTTAAATATGCCCCTGCGTGACCTTATGCGTATGAAATCTTCTGATTTAAAAATGATTATTTATAACAGATGATTGCTGTCAAACTAATTTAAGATAAGCAGAGAGTAAAAAAAAAATGCGTTGAGTAGTTTTCTGATATGACCTTTTACTACTCATATCCAATTTTAATCAGAGTGTTTTTGCTTTATTTCAGTCAGAGGCTCTAGGATTTTCTCGAGGGGGGGGGGGGGGTTGCCAGATTTTCAAAAAAAAATTCGATAATTTTGACATGTTTTTAGGTCGACCAAATTGATTTCCCGAGCTCTCCGAAAGCATTGAAAAGACCCTTTGTTGGTCAAATTTTCTTCACCGCGGGCAAAACTTTTAAAAAAACAGGTAAAAAAAGCAATTTTAGGCACTTTTTGGAATTTTTTAACCAAAAAATTGCGTTTTTGGCGCGCGTTCCCCCCTCAAAAATTAGTTTTTATTGGCGCCAAAAGCGCCTTTAGAAAAATTTTAGGGTACCTCACTAAAACAGATATCTCACAAAAGTACAAAGGCGCAGGGGGTCGGTAGGGGGTCGAATCCCTGAAGAAAGAGCGTCCCCCCGGACTGACCTCCATAGACCAAAAATGCTAATCATACAAGTCCATAAACTAAGTCTATGAAAAAATACCAATCATTCAAATTTCATACATTTTGCTAAAATGGTATCGTCGAATTTTCAAAAAACTTTTCTCTTGTACTGGCATAAAATTCGTTGTATCGTACTACATAAAAAGAAAATTTTTTTGTCAAAAAAAATGCTACTCATACAATTTCCGTATATGAGTAGCATTTTTTTCGACAAAAATTTTTCAAAGTATTTTTGAAATTGCCCCCAAAAGTTTTTGTGTGATTTTTGTCAACCGCAAATGATTAGCGTACTCAAACAATTTTTTGAAAAAAAAAGTTTTGCATTCCAAGTTTAATTTTTTGTGTTTGAGACAGAATAAGAGCATTTCAGGCTGTCTCCAATGTATTTTTAATGCGAGACGGCCAAACCTTTGGTGACTCTACGTTTGAGTAACCAAGGTTTTGTCACTTGTGTTCGGTTAAGAACACAACCAAAAAATTTTGAGAAATTAAAATGTAAAAAATAATATTTTTGGTTTATGGAAAAATGCTAATCATACAATTTACAATATGAAAAAAAACTAATCACACACCTTTCATGCAATTTTCTGTACTTATGGAATTGCATCATGAAAAGTGTATGATTAGCTTTTTTCCATATAAGAAAATTGTATGACTAGCATTTTTTGTCAACCCGGGCCCCCACCCCCACCCTAAATCCGCTACTGATTACAGTGGTTGTCTTTTCTACAAGATATTAAAGATGTCTTTTGATATCAAAATTATGCCAAAACTTATCTGTGTGATCAAGTGAAAACAGTGGGAGAGCTTTTAATAGGCCACCGCATAATCATAACTTCTAGACAAACATGTATTTGGCTTTTAGCGCAAGAGTGGTAGGAACTTCTCAGTTTCAAGAGTCCTCTGGTAACTAGAACATAACTGGATCGATGGGCTCTTAATTTTCACAAGTCGAAACCAAATCACTAAGGCATTGGAAACCCAATTTTCAACTTGAACCTGGCAACGCTGGAATAAAAACGGAAACTTGCTTTTAATTCAAAGCCATAGCATCGTAACAATGATAGTTGACAGTGATATTTGAACAATGATATTTGATAGTATGGGCACCCACAAAAGTCCAAAATATCTATGACAAAACAGACTAACTATAACTTGACTATGTATTTTAGTACAACTTCAGACTATTAGATAACACAAATAAAATAGCTATGTTTCCCAGATATTAATCAAAACACAAATCTAAAACAGGACTGTCGCCCCTGAACTATGTCGAACTATTTACATTGAACAAAACTTCTAACAGAACTGCAACATAAAAAAAAACTAAACGAGTTCTGGAAAATTTTGCTATTTGTTTCCAGATATGACAACTGTAAAAAAAAATGAATACATACTGCCAGCGGCTCTTCCACACACGTTTATGAAATGTTGATGGTAAAAATATAATACATTCTTGGAAAAAAAATCTGGGCAAATAAACTTTCAAATAATGAAATATATATTGACTTTTGACCATCACCGCATAAAGACTTGACGCAATATCAGTTTGACGCAATATCACATTGTTGTATGGTAGAAAAACTTCGATGGAAAAATTTTGCGATTTGGGGGCGAGCACGTGCTTTATTTTTTGATGAACTAAATTGTTTGGAACACTAACAGAACACTAGCACCTTAGTATCGGTGAAAAGCTTCAGTTTTTGGTAGATCCAACTGATGATTGATTCTCAAGCATTGAGGGAAAGTTAATCAAGGGAGTAAACAAGGAGAGTAGCAAGACTCGTCAAATTAGATTGCGAGTCGTCTTTTCTGGCTAAATATTGTCACTGTGAACAACTAACAGAAATGAGGGCGGACACAAAAGACGTTGCAGACACAAACAAAGTTTATCCTTTCACTGAACCGCTGGTATGTTGTTATTCGCGGTAGAAGCTTGTCCGCTGAACGAGAACGTATTCGTGCTAATTGCCACTTTGATGCCGTTCGTTGGAGTTATCGAGGTCGGACTTCGCAGCGGTTGTGCATTTCTGTTCAGGCCATTAGAGTTCTGGAAATTGCTGTTGTTTCCAAATTTGGCCCGAACTTTTGCGACAAGAGTGGCCAGCTTCAACCTACAAAAAGCACTGAACTTAATATTCAAGTTCAAAATGGCAGAACTATTTTAACCTCTCATGCGAATTGTTAACATATAGACTCATCTACATAAAATTGCTCCACTTGACGTGACTATAGTTTTTGTGCCAGCAAAACTGATTTTTTTTATAACGCAACTTCCAAATTTGGTCCTGAAACGTTAAAAGTGACAATTTCAATTTCAACGTTTTTAAATTCTGCTATTATTTTGCAATATTGAGAGTTTCTAGAATGGGGGTGGATCTTTTTTAGAAGACCAAATTGATTTTCCGACCACTCCTAGAAAACTATAAAGGCCCTATTTTGACCAAAAAATTTGCAACCGCAGGAAAAATTTTGAAAAAAAAACGTGTCAAAAAACCCGTTTTTGGGCACTTTTCGGAAAATTTTGACGAAAAAATTGCGTTTTTTGGCGCGCGCTCCCCTTCAAAATTAGTGTATATTGGCACCTAAATAAAATTTTTTGGGTTGGTTGGCCACAGATGGATGTCATAAAATAATACCAAAAGGGGAACCCTTTAGTTGATGAGGGGGTCAAATGTCTGACGAGGAGGCGTCTGCCCCGCTCGCGCCCCCTAAATCCAACCCTGATTTCTACGACGGATTAAGTCTCCGCTTACACGATTAAAGTGCAAAGTAAATCACGCATTAACTGTCTCGAACTGGTCAAATTGGTAATTTTTAAATCCCCACAATTGCACAGAAATTGATTACAGGTGAAATATTTTTTTAAATTAGAGCTCAACACATCAATTCCTTTCGGCTCATATTTAAAAATTTTGTCAAAAAAGGCTTGTTAAAACGTCGGAATTTGTTTGGAGAAAAACCACCCGAGCTTATTTTTTCAGTCCTTTTCTTCAAAAGTTGGAACAAAATTCAAATTTTTTTGAAGTAAAAGACAATCCGGAGACAGTTAATCAAAAATCAGAATGTAAGAGTTTAAAAAATGAAAATGGGAACTGGATAATTTAAGAGAGTCTTTTATTTAAACGTTCACATAAACGCAATATTATATTCTAAAAATAATTTTGTTTTTATTTATAAAAAAAATGGACAATTACATCATTATATTATAATTGAAACCTATTTTAGTCGTACTCAACCAATAGTTCAATATGGGCTGACATGACAGTGAAAGGCACAACTAAAAAAATTTCGCTTCAAGAGGCCGAAAATTGAAATGAAGTTTTACTAATATCTTAGAGAAAACGACGGAATCAGTTGTTGTTGTTGTTGCCCTTCTGAGATCTATTCGTCGCTCGTTGTTGGGTCCAGGGTTGTGGGGAGTTTCAGGAATATTGCTGTCTTCTTCGGTTGCTTCCAGAGATCGGCTGGGGTTAAGTTCGTAGGATTTGCGATGCAGTCGAACAGGTGTATAGTTGTGTGGCTTGTTTGCTGGCAGTCCGGGCAAAGTTCGCTTACTGTCGGGTCAATTCTGTTCATGTACGAGTTCAGGAACTTTGAGTAGCCGGATCTGAGCTGTGCCAGTGTTCTTCTTGTTGTTCTTGGTAATTCGGTTTCTTCTTTGGCAATTTTTGGTGGATTGTGTCCGAGGACTGCTGGGTATTCGTAGGTTTGTAAGGCGTCGCGTACCTCATTTGTGTGGATCGTTTTTAGCAGGTTTCTGTACTTCTTTTCGGTTAGAGGTCTATTGCTGTCGAGTAGAGGTTCAATGTATCTTTCTTCATATCGTGTTTGGAGGGTTTCTTTCATGAGTCTTGGTGGGTTCTTGGGTTCTTTCGTGAGTTGGTTTCCTGGGTGATCTGGCAAGTGGTTGGCGAGATGATGTTGTATCGTTCGCATTCTGAGGTGTCGTCTAACTGGTAAAACGGATGTTTCTTGGTGAAGGTGGTCTATGTGAGTCATGGCGTGGCATCCGGTGATTGTTCTCAGGGCGCTGTTTTGGACCTTCTGTAGTTTCTCGATGTTGCTTTCGGAGAGTGTGGGCGTTATCACAGCGGCGCCGTACTCAAGTTTAGAGCGAACAACGGCTTTGTAGGTCATGAGGAGTGTTTCCTTGTCGCTTCCCCAGTCAGTGCCGGCAAGCGCTTTCAGGGCGTTGTTGCGTTGAGAGCATTTCTTCGCAGTGTCTCTGCAATGGGCCCCGAAAGTGTGCATGGTGTCGAAAGTGATGCCGAGGATCTTCGCTTGGTTGTTCATTCTTATTTGTTCATTGTTTATCTTCACTTCAGGAACGGTTTTGTATTGGGCTGTCTGTGGTGTCATCAGCGTGACAAAACTCTTGTCAATGGAGATCTGGAGGTTTCGCTCTTCGAAGAAGTTCCTTAGTTCTGCGAGGTACTCCGTTTGTTTTCCTGCCATTGCTGGTATGTCGGTGCCGAGAATGAGGGACGTGAAGTCGTCTGCGTAGGACTTGATCTTGATTTCGTCCGTAGGGCTAGGTGCGTCTGCGACGTAGTAGTTGAAAAGGAGTGGCGACAAAACTGATCCTTGTGGCACTCCAAACCGAACTATCCGTGCTTTTGAGAGAGAGTCGCGAAACAGTGTTCTTGCTTGTCGTCCTTGTAGGAAGTTCGCGAGCCATCTTTTCAGAGCACTGGGCAGACTGGTCTTGTTGATGAGGTCGAGGAGCTTGGAATGCTTAACCGTGTCGAAGGCTTTCGACAGGTCAATCGCGACAAGCAGAGTCCTGTCGGCTGGTTTCTTTCTGTTGAAGCCGTTGGAGATGGCTGTCGTGATGTCACAAAGAGCGGTGACCGTTGAGTGCTTGGACCGGAAGCCGTGTTGGTGACTGGCGAAGTGGAGGTGTTCGGTGATGAGAGGTTGGATGCACTTCTCCAGGATCTTCGAGGCTGGGCAAAGCAAGGAGACGGGTCTGTACGAGTTGCTGAGGCCTGCGTCTTTGCCTGGTTTCAGCAGCGGAATAATGACTGACGACTTCCAAATTGCTGGGATCTGGCATTTGCTGAGCGACAGGTTGAAGATCTTCGTGAGGTAGTTGATAGCATTTGGTCCGAGGTGTTTCATGTGAGTGGTCGAGATGTTGTCTGGGCCGAATGCTTTGGAGTTCTTCGCGTTCTGTATGGCAGTTTTTACTTGTTTGGAGGTAATGACTGGGGCGTCGTTGAGAGGTTGTTTCTTTATGTTTCTGCTTATTTTCCTGTTGTCTTTCTCGGTCTTGTGGTTCATTGGTCTTGCGTATTGTATATTGAAAGCGTTGCTCATACTGCTGGCGTCTTTAATCTGTTTTTCGTTGAATTTTATTCCTTGATTTGGAGGGGCACTTTGTTTCTTTCCTGTGATCGCGCCGATTGTCTTCCAGAGTTTGGTCACATTGGTTTTTCTGTCGAATGTTGCCACATGCTCTTTCCATTTCTCCATTCTTTGCTTGGAAATGAGGAAGTCTATCCTGGCGTTCAAGGTCGGAATGTCTTTGGAGTGAGGGTTGTTTCTTCTTGTTTCGTCTCTTTGCTTGATCAGGCGAGAGGCTGCTGGCGGAATGTTGGGCTTGGCTTTGGGAATGCGTCCGGAGGGAATGTTGTGAGCAGAAGCAGTGTTCAGAATCTTCCTGAAGACTTTCTCTCCGCTGTGGGTGTCAGATGGTTCTTCTTCGCTCAGAAAGAGTTCTTCTGTTTCCTGTTTGAAGGTATCCCAGTCGGCTCTGCTGAGGTTCACGAAGGTGCGCTTAGGTGCTCTGACTTCTGTGTCCCTCTTCAGTTCGATCTTCATGGGAAGGTGATCTGAGCCCAGGGTGATCTCTGTTTTCCAGGAGAGGTCGAGAAGCAGGTCGGAGGAGGCCATGCTGATTTCCGGCGAGGATGGCTGATCTCCTCGTGGGAGGCGAGTTGGGTGGTCGGTGTTGAGGACGCCGAAGGAGGAGTCTTTAATTTCTTCTGCCAGTTCGGAGCCACGGGTGTCTTCTTGGTTGCTGGAATGCCACAAGGAACTGTGTGCGTTCGCGTCTCCTACCAGGATTGTCTTGCTGCTGGAGAGGAGGTCTTGCAGGGACGCCTTGTAACCTTGAGGACAGCTGCTGGAGGGAGGGATGTAGTAGTTGATGATGTTCAATTCAACTTCGTTCATCTTGATGTTGACTCCCTGGACTTCTCTCGTGCCGTCGTTCTGCTGATCTATGTCCATGGTGTTGAAGTCGACAGTTTCGTGAATGAGGGTCATGAGTCCGCCACCTCCTTGACCACGATCCCGTCGGATGGCAGTATAGCCAGGGAACTTCGGCGTCTTGTTCCGTTCTTGTAGTTTGGTCTCTTGAAGGGCGGCAACTGTGATCTTCCTTTCTTGTAGGTAGTTGCTGAGCTCTTTTGCTTTATTCTGTATGCCATTGCAGTTCAGTTGTAGTAGCTTGAACTTCACTTTCTGGGTTTGTCGGGGGGTCTCTGCAGTGCAGGGGGGGCATCTCCAGTCTGGCTGAGAGAGGTACTCGGCTGTCTTGCGCATGCCGCTGCATTTCAGGTGCATCCATTCTTTGCATTGGTGGCATCTGATTGTCTGTGTTTTCATCTGTCGGGAGCAGACTTTGCAGTTGACTTTCTGTGCCGGACCGGGGTTGGGTTCAATACCAGCCATCAGTAGTTGGAGCAGGAGAAGAGAGGCTGGCGTTGTCTTCTCCACTACCAAAAACCCGGGTTGAGTGACGAATAGGGTCCCTTTCTGGGAAGTCTGTCGCTGTTGCGGCAGGGTTGGCACCATTTGCTCCAGTTGGAGACGAATCCACCACGAGTAGGCGGTTGCCGCTGGATCCACGACGGAATCAGTCCGTAACGCCTTTGAAAAAACTTAATTGCAAAGCGCAGTGACAGAATTGCGTATGTGCTATTGAAACAATAGCTTTCAATTTTGATTAAAGATATAAAAATGAGTACCTACAAGATGCAATATTTGATTCGGACATCAAAAATTTGAAACAAAAAAGAGTTTAAAAAATTTAAAACACATACAAGTTCACTGGAAAAAGTAATAAAAGAAATACTGACGAGAAAACTGGTTCTCCCATATGTTTTTTGGCAAATTTTGATGATACAGTCAACAATTTAAAAGGTTAAGCTTGTGATTTATTTGGAAAAACGATTTGCACTTTCTCGTCAGAGGCACTTGTTGTCAGATAAAAGTGGTTAGGCGGTCAATTTGAGATCATCAGATCGTTTAATCGGTCCCCTGCCATTACAATGATAGTGTACGAGGAAAAGTTCTCACTTGACGTCCAGCTTTAAATCTATCACAGCTTGACCGATTTTGGCTGCAATAGTGGTACTGCGTGAAAGTTTTAAGTTTTAGACGAAAAAAAAAAAGACCTTGAGTCCAAAAAAGGGCTTCCCTCAACAAAATAACTCAGTCTGGAATGTGGAAAAATAGGAGAAACTGACTATGCTTAGACAGCCTGCAAAGTGTTTCATAGATCCTTGCAGGAACTAAAGTTGTTACTACTATTATTTTGACTTTAATTTTTTTTGAAGATGGTATATATGGTTGGGACATCCAGCAGTACCTAATTAGGTATATTTTCTTTGTATCGAGGGGGTTTTAGACTGTTTGCTATTTTCGGGCATTCCTTGACGTGGTCTTGAGTCCTTCAGATGAGCTTAAAAATCTGAATAATGTTCTGTTTAAAAACCTGTGATACGGAAACAATGGAACTTTGGATTGGAAACAATACGGAAACAACGGATACGGAAACAATGGAACCATTGTTTAAACTCTGATACGGTAACAATGGAACAATCATCTGTTTTGGGTCGGATTCAATTTTAATAGTTACATGATTAAGAATGAAAATGGTTCAATTTTTTGGATCAAAGAGAAGGCTTGGACATACAAATTGCCGAAGTTGGAGCATAGCGATAAGCGGGTATCCCTGCTAGTTTGCAATAACTGCTTTAAAAAAACTAGTAGTATTAATTGTTAATAAGAAGCAAAAATTATATGACCTACTTGGCCATCATTCAAATTACTGATTATTTGTCCAGTGAAGTCTACTTTTAAATTTGACCTTGACTCTTTTCATAGTTCCACAATTTTTCTTGAAAATGACATTCATATCTAAAAGTTTTTTTCAACCAAGATGAATAAAGATTATTCATTTAAAAAATTCAGTTTGTCTGTTTACAGAAAGGCTGTTTTTGCTATCATGTTTTCTTTTTGCTTTACACGTGAACACAAACGAATTGGTGTATCGTTTTACCTTTAATGCATTGTGATAAAAAGTAAACCGAATGAAGTGGTAATGTTGCATGGAAAAGTATTTGAGTCTTTTCAATTGAAAAATCATCAAATACCAGGAAATCTCACCAAAAACAGGTTCAAAATTGGTTCAAAAACCAACTGACACTAAGGTTACATGAATGAGAAATAAGCGGTCTAGCAATCTGACTTTACGGTTAACGTTACTGTAGAGCATTTCAGCTTTCACCCTCTTCTTTTTTGAATATTTTTTTCAAAGAGATTGAAAACAAATTTGCTATTCTTGTGCTGTTCGCAGCAAAAATTGGATGCAAAGACTGAAATTAAGTTGCATGCAATTAACAAGTTGCTAACATTATGACCTTTTCTACCCGGCTTTCAAAGGAACAAACGAAAGCTTTATGTTCGATTGATTTTTCATTCAGAGCAATTTGGCGGTTATAACAACAATGATGACAAATTTATGCTCTACATGATTAAATACTTGACAATGCTTCTTGGTGAAAAAAAATCTGAAAAAAAAATTTGAGATCGCACTGCCGAGATTGTTGAAAAAATCAGGGCTCTGTACTGATTCGAGCATCAGTATTCCATTTCTAATTAAATAATATTTCAAAAATAGATTTAATCTTTTTAATCCGGCTTCCTAAAAAACGATAAATATTTATGCTTGAGGTAGTTTTCTGTTCAGTCCATTTTTCCAAAGAAAATATGAATTATTTGCTCACGCTGTGCTTTTTTCTGCAGATAAATATTATTTGATAACTACAGTTTTTTTAATATCGTAGCTTTTCACCATTAACAGTTTAGCCCACCAAATTTACCCACACATTTTCACAGCAAAAACAGGCTAACACTCTATAATTTTACCGTTTAAAAATTATATTCCATTATTTAACAAAAATGGGTTTTATCAGATTGTTTCTTGCACAAAGTGTCTGAAAAGTTAAATTTCCGAAACTCAAAATAAAATTACTAACTGTGTCTGAGTAAAAATCAGATTAAGACTCAGTTTTGCATAATGGAAAGCATTCTACTTCAAAAGCTATTAAAATTTGAGCAAAAATCAATTTAAAAAATCTCAATTCTTCTTTCAAACAAAAACAAAGAAAAATTTGAGCAAAAATCAATTTAACAAATCTCAATTCACCATTTCAAACAAAAATAAATCTGTTCTAATCATCTCTGGACATGATTTTAACAAAAAAAAACAGAAGAAATAGAAAAATAAACAATTTGGAAACTTCAACTCAACGAAAAAAAGTACAAATTGCGACTCAGGTTGTTCTTTTAACAACAGCAAATACTGTTAAACTGCTCAACAAAAACAGCGAAAGGGCGGAAAACTTCATTGCAAAAATGATCTGGTTGCAATTCTGACATTTTGTCCGTGTTTTAGGGATTTAAAGTATTCGGCAGTCGTAAAGACAAGGAATTCAAGTCCGGTGTGGCTTTCTCATAGAGTAATTTTGGATAAGGTACACCGTCTGTTCATCCCACTGTCTTATTCTACACCGGATAGGTTCGTACAACTCCTTAGTCTAATACCGATCTTAATCTTACTCTTATATCTCCTAGTTTCAATTGATCTAGTGTATACTCATATTTGCGAGGTTTAGTATCAAGAACTGTTCTGGAGAAGTGTTTGCTAAGTTGAATTTATTGTTCTGGCTGAAATTATAAATAGTTTCAGCTTTACGATCTATTGTTAGTTTTAGTCATGGATCATGATTGGTTAGATCTAAATATTTCACAGAGATAGTTTATCAAGAATATAATTGGATATGAATATTACTTGTTTTCAACTGGTTCCAACAATCATGATCATAACATCTATTCGAAGGACTCTGATACAGTCTCAATTTTAGACAGCACCAGCTTTTTGAGCCATATTTTCCTTCAAAACTTTACTCAAGTTCTGTAACGCTCCTGCAGCACCTGAATTTTTTTACGCCCTGCCAATCAATAAACAAAACAAAAAACATCCGATGGATTTGTATTAGACTTGAAATAGCTTGCGCCAAACATCATTCAGTGTGAAAACTGCGGAAAAAAGTAAGCCACGTTAAACTTAAATTAAACGAATGTTTTGGGGCTCAATTACCTGGTTGCTTTTTTGTTTGTCTCCAAATTTACTCCAAGAAATTCAAGTTTAGGCCCTAACAGCCTATACGTTTCCACCCATTAGCTCGTTTTGGCCTTATACGTTTCCAACCATTAGCTCGTTTTGGCCTTGAGAACAAAGTTGGCCCTTGTATTTGAAAAATTGAAAACATGGACTAATCGTTGAAAGGAATCGTCAACGACTCGAAGCAAATGAATGAAAAGTTTTCGATCAATATGAAAACAGTAGAAACAAATGACAAAATCTGTATCTCTTTATGTTAACTTTTAAAAGCATATTCGTCAAAAGATATATTTTATCGCCCAAAAGAAATAACAAAAAACTTGAACGAAAGGTATTGCACAAAAACCGAAAAC